CCCCCCCCCCCCCCCCAGGGTCAAAATGACCAGCACAAAGGCAAAAATTTGACCAGACAAGCCTTAGTTCTGGCTGGATATTGTTTGATGTGTGGCCATTATTTTAAGGCCAGATATACTCCTTCTCTATCAGAGCTTGATACTGACTAAAAGTGCATGCTTGTGCACTCATAAAGCATGTGCCACCATGGAACCAATCAGAAAGAGAGACTAATGTTAGTTATTTTATAAAGTCAGATCCAGTTGTGCTGAAGTCACTTAATAACACAGGAAGCCTATGTAAGAAAAGTGAACCTACACTTGATATCAAATTTTGTTTTTATTTTTATTTTAGTATACTCAGAAAGATTGTTTCGTCTCAGAGGCAACATTTTGTTTTACTTCAAAACTAAAGATAAGGTAGGTATTTTAAATGCTGTGAAATTATAAAAGTAGATCAAGCTCTTTATACTTTAATCCCCTATGATGAGACTGGTAAAAGAAAAAGTCCTTTATACTCGTATCGTATGGATTGGTTGCATTGACTAGTCATAGTTTGATAAGTCTTATGTGGCTTTTCGTCATGTCTGGCCATTATTGAGCAGCCATTATTCTTAGCCCTATACATTGATTTTTGTCTTGGATAGACATCAGAGCCAGCTGGTGCTATTGTACTTGAAAGATGCAAGGTGCAGAAACGACAGCCTACAATAAAACATGCCTTTACGATTGGTGAGTTAATAAGCTATTGAACACCACTATCAATGCCAGTGCATTGTGAAGTACTTCTATAGCCTTCTATATACATTGTACAACTTTAATTTGCTGATCACTACAATTTGACTRTATCTGACAACCAATTGCTTGACAATAAATTGTCTTTATATTAGTTCTCTTTATTTGAATAAGTAATTCATAAAATCTCATTTTTATATAATAATTTTTGTTTTCAGTATTTGATGAAGATGACACTCAACTGTATCACCTTAAAGGAAAGTCAACCAAGGATACCGAAGATTGGATAGAAAAAATCAGAAGTGCAAGGTAAAATACATCAGACTTTTATGCAGGAGGTCTTGTATAAATCTCCAGCTGGATCAGACCTCAGGGTGACCATCTTTAAAAATACAAAAAAGGAGAAAAATGGCAGTCCTAAGTCTCCAAAAAAACCACTGAGGACATAAATAAAACCCTTGCAGTAACCACCCCCAGTTGTCTCATGGACTCTTTACGATATCAAGCTCTTAACAGGTACTAATCTCTATTCTTCAATGATTTAGTTATGAAAGCTTAAGAAATAAACTACTAAGTTTAAGAAGACAGCTGATGGATATCACAGGAAAAGTAAGTCCATATGAGAGGTCTTGAACCTTCCAGTTTGTTAAGTATTCAAGTTAGATGACACTTTTCACGTTCTTGTATATTAGGATCCATTGCCAGAGTACCATCCTCTAGCAGTTCAAGAGGTAATATTATTTATTAATAGCAGTTTTCATTATTACACTCGCTCGTAACCATTAAGAGCACACTGAAATTTTAAAGTTTTTTCACTGCTGATAATCAAAATTTACATTTTTGACTGGCATCACTGAAAAAACAAAATCCATTGGACAACTACGGATTTTACTTGATATTGAATATTGAAGTAGTTAGTGCCTTAGTTAAAATATTAAGCCTCTTTATTACTCTGCATCTATAAGATGCTAATCGGAATGCTAGAAGTCTAATTTTAATTGTATTATTAAGTTTAAGTATGGCATTAGCATTGAAGTTGAAAATGTGTTTCATTCATTATAGCCTCTTAAACCTGGGATTGGCCAGTATTCATCCACCAGTACAGCAAGTAACTCAGATGAAACTCCTTTGCTGGAGATGTGTATTGGTAAGAGCTATCTTAATAAATTATCTAGGGAGTAATCTTGTACTTTATGACCTTTTGACATGTGTCAGTTGACAATCGGCCAACTGTTAGCCAATTGATTATTGGTCAACACTTCACCAACACTTCGCCTTCACATTACCAACATTTCACAATCACTCACTTTTTAGTCAACCAATCTTTGGCCAATGTGTGGGCTTGCATCATTGATCAAGTTGTTGGCCAACCATTGGTCAACAGTGGACCAATTGTTAATCAACATGTGTCGGCTGAGTTGTGAAATATACTATTACCTATCTAAGGCGTAAGTGTCTTTTTACATATGTCTAATGATAACTTTTGCATGTTCGATTATAGCATGTAATGGGTTGGTAAGCCCTATTGAAGGCAGATCAACCAATGCATTTGTTGAAATAAGGACAATGACTCCTCCTTCAACAACCTGGATTAAACATGCACAAACAGAAATTATAGAGGTAAATACTATATATAACAAACATCTCAATGTACTAGCATAGAGGCCAAGCAGGGACCAGATAAATTAACTTGAGTTCATTGTATAAGTGGTCTTCCAGTATGTATAGTCCCCCCACCACCCCTGCCCCTATAACCACCACTACTTCCAATAGGGCCCCCACCACTACCACCACTAGGGCTGGTTCATTGTCAGATTCTGAACAATTTCTAGCGGAGCGACTGTTACACTTAGAAAGGCATAATGTAGCATCTCTTTTAGGTCTTACCTTATCCTTTATTCTTATTACTTTTTAACTTCAAAGGGGGGTGACTAGTCAACCAATTCACCCCTCCTGGATTCACCCAAGTGATGACACACCCTTTTCAGATGATTCCACCCTTTAAAAAAATGGTACAAATTCAGTAGCAGAGAAGTATTTTTTTACTTTTATTTTATTTTTTCATTCATTAGCAAAAGCAAGATCCATTCTTTTTAACAACAGTAGTATTCCCTTCCAACGGCACTATCCAAGATGTTACAAGATTAAAGCTTGCTGTATTTGACGTCAGAGACAGAGAAAAGGAAGAGGTATGTAGTATCATGGTATTTTATAATATGTAAAAAAAATACTATGGCAAGCACCCATTTCTCATTGTTGAAATGTGTAATAAAGAAATTTGAAAATGCACCTGCATGCTGTCAGCACTTTGGCTATACAACAAATCAAAATATGCAGAACAATTTGAAAATTCTATTGTGTTTCCACATGATCACAAGGCTGGTCAGTCCAGAACAATAGTTATTCAAATTGAATGCCATATTTTATGAGAAAAATAAATCTGCAAATATTCCATGCAATTTTCCATGCATTTCAGATGTCAATTCTAGGACATGCTGTATGTACCATCAGAGATATCACATCTGCTCCGGATCAAAAGCTTTATCTAACTTTAACGTGAGTAACACAATTAAATATGGCACAAATAATATCCATGTTCAGATGTGGGTCTAGAGTGGCTTGGGTGCTACATACACCAAGGGAGAGAACAACACATCAAACAAACTCATCTCACATCTACAGTCCAGTAGAGATACAAACCTGATTGATCCCATGCCTTAACTACACAGAGGCAAGAGACAGCCCTGTGATAGTGCACGCCGCCCATGCTAACCCACATTCACACGTGAACGCCAAGAGATTTCGCCCCCAGGGATGTACCCGCTTCAGATTTTTTGCCTCCCTTACTTGAGATTTACAGGAGAGATTTTTCAGTGAATAGACCTTTGGTATTCAACTCTACATTTTCTCATTTCCTCTTATAGTGGTCTTGATTCATCAGCATCGTGTGGGACAATCATTGTATTAGGATGGCAAGTATGTAGGATAAATGTGCACTATATTTTTTTTGAATATTCTTTTTTTTTAATCAATGCAAAATTGAGCAGCATGTGATTTCAATAGAGCTTTCCTGAATTCACTTTTGTCATGAATGAATCACTACGAAACAAGAGTGTTTTAACATTTACTGTGTTCTATCAAGTTCAGACTAGCAGATCTCAACTTCGAGTCATTGTTTCACTTAATCAAATTCAGGAAAGGTTTATTGACTATTTATTTATCTGTGGGTACATGTAGATCCACAATAGTTATACCAATTGCATCTATGTTAAATAATATGGTAAGTTGTTCTTATGGAGTCTTTCTGAATTACTTCCCTTATTTATTTATCTAGGCAGAACAAAATGTCAAGACTCGATCATCTTCACTAGACTCTAGCGAGGTAAGCATTACTCATGGACAACACAAGGTTCAAAAGTTCATAATTATGGCTATTCCACATGTACATTTTACTTGTAGGGTGTAGAGGGCCCAACAGGAAGGAGAAATACTGGCAAGGCAATGATTCTTGTTGATCAAATCCTCACAAGAAGCTATAGGTTCCCTACAAGGCAAGTATATTAATCAATTATTTGACATCTGAATCTTGATATGATAAATATCAGAACAGCTGTGTTTTTGTTGACTGGCAAATTATCAAAAAATAAAAAAATAAATTATTGTAATGCATATTAAGTGAATTGAATTTCTGCGAGTTATACAATTTGCTGTACAATATGCTGGTTGTCATACCAGACCCATATACAATGTAATAATAAACTTCAAACCTTCATTTGTCATACCTGTAAATACATGTATCTTTGAGCTAAAGCAAAAAGAAGCTTCCCATAACAATTTAATTTACTTAGTTACTTATTTTTTCCCCAATAATTACCAAGTGATATTTTTTTGTTCAGGAAACAGGGAAAAGATTTAAAAGTGTTGGAGCTGATGGGAGAAAGCATGTTAACCTTCAAGATTCCAATTCAGTTGCTGTAAGTTTTCCCTTTACACATTCTTGATTAATAGTGTTTTAGCTCAATAATATTATTTTAACATAATAATTTGTTTGTGAAAGGAAAATATATATTGCTGAGGAGCATCAGAGAGCACTTGAACTTCACCATCTGGGAGATGTAAGAAAAATAATTCTTTAACTTTTTAAATTACTTTATGGCTTGTACTTTTGAATTGAGAAGTTGTTTGTGTTGTGTGGTGGTTTTTTCTTTTTTCCTTTATTTGTTTATTTATTTGTCCATTCATCCATATCTTCATTGATTCTTTTCTTCATTTGTCCATTTATTCCTTGGTTTGTTCCTTTCTTCCTTCCTCAATTCCCTATTCCTTCATTTCCTATTCCCCCTTTTCCCATGGCATTCAGAATAAGCCGGCAGATATTTGAGCTCTGAATATTACTTCGAAGTTAACCGCTGGCTACTTTTCCTTTTCAATGATCTATTTCTCGTATCAGATCACAGCCATCTACTTCAAACTTATGACCACCTACTGTTTTCCCTTCTCTTCCCTTCTCTTCCCTTCTCTTCCCTTCCATTCCCTTTCCCTCTCTTCCCTTCTATTCCCTTCTCTTCTCTTCCCTTCCCTTCTCTTCCCTTCTCTTCCCTTTTCCTCTATTCCTTTTCCCCCCCTTCTCTCACTCCCTACCCCTTTTTTCTTTTTCATTTTTAGACAATAAAATCTGAAAACCTTTTATTTTTCCCTAGCTGAATCCTGACTGGGAGAATTCTCGCCATGAAATTATAGACAACCACTTTAAATTGATATTTGCATACAAAGGACAGCTCAGAGATCTGATGGCCCTTAAAGGTGATAAATAACTTGTGGTAGTTAAGGGTGGGGAGGTAGGGGAAGGGTGCATAAGTGGGGATAATTTACATGGTTAAGCTAGAATAAATTAATTTGTGATCAATCCCTAATTTTTCCAGGAAACTCATTCAAGCCTAGCAAACTAAAAGCTCACAAACAGCTAGCTTTCGTACCTGTTAATTTACATCTACAACGTTTGAGAGTAAATGATGGTTGCAATCCAGGTATTTACAGTAATTTGTATTCCGTTTTTTTTCCTTTTAAGTCTTGTCTTGCAATTTTTAACCAGGTTTAGGTGGAGGACCTTCCATCCTTTTTACATCCATTTTCTTCCATTCTTTCACATGCTATTTGAATGCTATATCTTCATATACTAGAATTCGGTTTATTGATAATTGACTATTCATTTGCCGCTAGGTAAAGTGTATGAGATCGTAACAGTTGGAGCACCAGTATGTCATACTTTAAAATTTGGTCAGGGAGGACTCAAGAAGATGATGTCAAATCTTAAGAGAATACAACAGAGGTAGAAAAGTCCCCAGTCAGGGGGGGCATAGCCAGGGGCCCAAGGGAGCCTGTGCCCCCATACTCGCACTATAAAAACCTAAACATCTATGTGGCTACATGAAAACTTATTTTCACAAATGTTCTTTTGGAACTTGGTTTTACTACCACCCCCCC